TGCTCGCGCGTCTAAAGCGGCGAAGTGACGCGCACATTCGGCTTGTGCAGACCCACGATTCGGGCGGGCGGGAGACGATGGCGACGACGGCATCGGCGACGAAAATGATGATGATGATGATGATGATGATGATGATGATGATGATGATGATGATGATGATGATGATGATGATGGTGAGGGCAATGGTGGTAACGGTAATGAGCGAGGACGATCACGATGACGGCGATGATGGCGACGGTAATGATAACGACTATGTTGGTGATGGTAATTAAGTTGAAGATGATGGTGATGATGATGGCGATGACAGTGATGACGCTGGCGATGATGACAGCGATGGTGCTGATGAGGATGATGAGGAAGTGCGCGCGCGCGCAGAAGCTCTGACATGGGTCTTATTGAGCAATATGCGTGCTCCATGTGCTTGTGAGCTCCTCCATATTGATATGATTAGACAGCGATTGTCCTGCGATGATTTCGACATGCGCGCGCGGAGACGCACGCGTGTGGCCTGCATTGTACGTGATTCGACAGAGTTGGTGGGCGCGCCATGCTTGCTGGAAGATTTCGACATGCGCGAGCATTGGCCGCATTAAATTGTTTGAAAAGGGGTTATTGTAATTGAACGTTTTGTATCAGGACGGGTGCTCAGCCTAGCACGATTCTTCAAGGCGAGGGGGACGTTATCGGGACTGGCTGAAATAATATTCTGCGCCTTAAGACTAAACAACAGACGTGAGAAATACAGATGAGAAGCGAATGCGCGGAGGGGTGCCGCGAAGTCCAGCCTAGGCATGGGGGGTGCAACCTAAAACTTTAAGAAGAGAGCGCGTGTTCAAAGAACTTGAAGCCGTCCCCTCCCTCCGGCCAGCATCTGGCGCGCGAGGCACCTCCTTGATCTCGTCGTCCCTGGCCACGTCGATGCAGCTCTCGCGGGCCGCGTTTGCTCGGCCCGAGAGCCCCCGAACCCGCGCGTCGAGCGACGACTCCCAGGCCGGGAACGGAGAGCGGGAGCAAAGAGAAGGAGAGAGAGGGGCCAGGAAAGAGGAGGAGGAGAGAGAGAAGAAGAGGAGAGGGGCAAAGAGGAGCAGACGGGGAAGAAACGGGAGGGGGAAGGGGAGGAGGAGGAGGAGGAGGAGGAGGAGGAGGAGGGAGGAGGGAGGAGAGGGAGGAGGAGAGGGACGAGAAGGTAGAAGATGAGGAGGTCCCCAGAGGTCTTCAGAGGCCAGACGAAATCCGACTATCAAAAAAATACCAAACGAATAACAAAAAACTCGACCTTCGAATTTCAATCCTCGAAGGAAGATCGAGGTCATGTCGTTCGTAATGTTTGGAACTCCGTAAACTTCACGTCTCCACGACTGGGTTCCCCTCGAAGTCATTCTTAAAACACAACCCTGGAGACGTGCAAAAGCGATTATGATTGGGAATACGCTCAAACGCCCGAACATAAGAAACAACATACATAGTAGACCCAAAACTGGCACGTGTACATCATTAGTAGCATCAGACGGCATACGTATATGCATATCTATATGTATGTATAGCACGAAGAATCAGAATGGCAATGCCCACGCACATATACATAGCTACATGCACATAGCTATATATACACCTATCTACATGTATAGGTTATATGAGCAGAGATGGTGATGGTGTTGGCGACGATCGTGATGATGAGGAGAGGGCATTCATGGGAAGTAAGAGGAAGAGATGAAGGCTGGAGTGTTGTAAATTTCTGCTCCGGGGAACAACGAATGATAAGGGGGGAGGAAGGACGAGGGAGAGCAGAGGAGGGGGGGAGGAGAAGGCGAGGTGAGGCGGACTCTGAGGTGTCAAACCTACTGCGATGCGCCCGAATCACGAGTGGAGGAGGAAGATGATGACAGCCAAAGCGCATACGAGAGGACACACCCGAGAGGGCTGAAGGCTCCCCACTAAGGGGCAACTGGGCAAAATCAGAGAGGAAACGTGGAGGGAGACTTGGAAGAAAGAAGGGTGCCTCCTCCTCCTCCTGCTGCTCCTCCTCCCCGTCCTCCTTCTCCTTCCAGGAGGAGCAGGAGGAGGAGGCGGAGGAGAATGGACTTGGAAGAAAGAAGAATGCCTCCTCCTCCTGCTGCTCCACCACGTCATCCGCCTCCTCCTCCTCCTGCTTCTCCACCCCGTCCTCCTCCTCGTCGTCCTCGTCGTCGCCTTCAGTCGGCGGCACTGGCCCTAAGACCTTCATAATCAGAGAGAAAAACGTGGGGGGAGACTTGGTGGAAAGAAGGGTACCCCCGATTCAGATGGGTCGGCCTGCCAACACACGCTGGCTCCACAAACTTGTACAGCCTGTCCAGCTGCAGACAGGCTGAGGAGGAGGAGAAGCAACGTCGACACGCGTGCAGGACGAGCCCAGCCTGCGACAAGGGCGGCCTCTCGGGCAAAAGAAGGGCAGCGCGCCCAGAGGAAGGATCTGAGCGGGCAGCCTTGTGGTAGGCGTTCATCAGGAGAGCGTCTGCACCTTCCCCGCACCAGGGAAACCGAAGAACTGCCTAAACAGAAACTTTCGAAGCTCCGCGCGGATTTCATGGATCGCGGCTGGACCCCCCTAGCGGAGAGGGAAAAGTTCTGAGCCACCAAACAGAACTTTCCGACTCTGCAGTCGGCCAGTCGGCCAGTCGGCCAGTCGGTCAGTCGGGGAGTCGGCCAGTCGGCCGGTCTGCCAGTCGGCCAGTCGACCAGCCGGCCAGTCTGGGTCGGCCAAAGACGGGAGGGGAGTCGAATAGTTAATCCCGGTGCCCCAAAAACCTCCCAAATGCCCCAGCGGCTCCTCCTCCTCCTCCTCCTCCTCCTCCTCCTCCTCCTCCTCCTCCTCCTCCTCCTCCTCCTCCTCCTCCTCCCCCCCTCCTCCCCCTCCCCCTCCCCCTCCCCCACCCTTACAGCACGCTCTGGCACAATTCCGTCGTCTGGACGCCCTCCTGCCACCCCCTCGTGCCTCTCGCTGCCGGCACTGCCTGCACTGCACCGCCGGGCCTCCTCACGCCGCTCTCTGCGGTGGCAGCTGTGGAGATGCGAGCGTACCGCCGAGTCTCCTCCTCCTCCTCCTCCTCCTCCTCCTCCTCCTCCTCCTCCTCCTCCTCCTCCTCCTCCTCCAGCTGTACACCTTCCCCTCCTCTTCCTCCCCCAGCTGAACTCATGCCCCTCCTCCTCCTCGACCTGCTCCTCCTCCCACTCGACCTCCTCCTCCCCCTCCTCCACCTCCTCCTCCTATTCATCATCGTCTTCCTCGACCTCCTCATAATCACTGTTTGCCTTGTGCCGCTGCGTGCAGCGTGCACGCACAAGTATAGCCGCTCGACCTCAGCCGCGCTTGGAGGGGTCAGAGCGGGGGACGCGAGGGTTCTGGGCCCTGCGTGGGCCCAAGGCCTGGTTAGAACTCACGCGATCCCCAAAACGACAACCCATACATGCCGAAAACGATGGGCATCTACTGACACCCGCGCCCATGTATCCTGTCTCGCACGCTCTCGTTCTGCGAGGCGGAAACATATCCATATCCACCGCCTGGAGAACCGACGTCCTGGGACCCCAGCGGGCGGTGGAAATGGATACGTGTGCTCCCCAGGGGCTCCGAATGTGTATACACAAGTATACATACATGCATACGTACGTACGTACATACATGCATACATACATACATACATACATACATATTTACTCACACACATACATACATACATACATACATACATACATACATACATACATACATACATACATACATACATGCATACATACATACATACAGACATACATACATACACACACATACACACATACACACATACATACATACACACATACGGACTGACAAACAGACATACAGATGCATAGACGTATACGTATACAGTTACATATCCACATACATACACATATACATATGCATATACATGTATGCCGACCTGTGCATATACATTATGTATACACATACATATACGTATACACATACATATACATATACGTGTGCATATACATATACATATACATACACATGTACATATACTGCTATATCTATGAAAACATATATAAACATATACAGATGCATACACATATGCATAAACATAGACATAAACATATGCACAGACAAATACATATATATATACACGCATAGACCTAGATATGTACATATACATATACATATGTATATACACATACATCTACAAACCCCTATATATATATCAACACATGCATATACACATACCTATACATATACATACGCATATGCATATACAAATTTATATACATATACATGTGCATGTAAATGTACGACTGTCTGTGCTAATATATATATATATATACACGTACATATGCATGATCATGTACATGTACATAGACATGCCCATAAGCATATACACATGTGCGTGTGCATTTATATATATATATATATGTATACAGGTGCCTGGCTCGAGGGGTCACCGTTCGAGCCGGCGCCGAAGAAGCTACTTGAAGACTCTATATGCCCAAAGAGCTGCGGTGACGCCTCTATTCCGCTGACGCCTGGTGAAGCTCGTGACGCTTCCATTCGGCCTGAAGCCTACATTCCGCTGACGCCTATTGAAGCTCGTGAAGCCCCTATTCGGCCTGAAGCCTGTATTCGGCCTGAGGCTTGTATTCGCCCCGTGACGCCTCTAGTCGGCCTACGAATTTCGACGCACTGGTGGGGTCGCGACCCTAGATGCCTCTATTCGGCCTGAAGCCTCTATTCCCCTGACGCCCATTGCAGCTCGTGAAGCCTCTATTCGGCCTGAAACCTCTATTTCCCTGACGCCCATTGAAGCTCGTGAAGCCTCTATTCGGCCTGAAGCCTCTATTCCCCTGACGCCCGGTGAAGCTCGTGAAGCCTCTATTCGGCCTGAAGCCTCTATTCCCCTGACGCCCGGTGAAGCCCGTAACGCCTCTATTCGGCATGACGCTTCTATTCCCCTGACGCCAGGTGAAGCTCGTGAAGCCTCTATTCGGCCTGAAGCCTCTATTTCCCTGACGCCCCGTGAAGCTCGTGAAGCCTCTATTCGGCCTGAAGCCTCTATTCCCCTGACGCCCGGTAAAGCTCGTGAAGCCTCTATTCGGCCTGAAGCCTCTATTTCCCTGACGCCCCGTGAAGCTCGTGACGCCTCTATTCGGCCTGAAGCCTCTATTCCCCGGACGCCCGGTGAAGCTCGCGAAGCCTCTATTCGGCCTGAAGCCTCTATTCCCCTGACGCCCGGTAAAGCCCGTAACGCCTCTATTCGGCATGACGCTTCTATTCCCCTGACGCCAGGTGAAGCTCGTGAAGCCTCTATTCGGCCTGAAGCCTCTATTTCCCTGACGCCCCGTGAAGCTCGTGAAGCCTCTATTCGGCCTGAAGCCTCTTATTTCCCTGACGCCCCGTGAAGCTCGTGAAGCCGCTATATTCGGCCTGAAGCCTTATTCTCCTGACGCCCCGCTGAAGCTCGTGAAGCCTCTATTCGGGCCTTGAAGCCTATTCCCCTGACGCCCGCTGAAGCTCGTGAAGCCTCTATTCGGCCTGAAGCCTCTATTCCCCTGACGACCGGTGAAGCTCGTGACGCCTCTATTCGCCTGGACGCTTCTATTTCGCCTCGGCCTCATCCTCCGGGTAGCACAGCTAGGCTGGCTGCGTCGGGCGCGCGGGCGCGGACGCGAGCGCGGCGTCGTCGTCGTCGCCCCCACCGCCGCCGGCCGCCGCCACCCGATTGGGCTGGGTTGGGGGTCCAAGACCTCCTGGATGTTCGTTTGGGGGTCTCTTGGGAGGTTTCTCGTCGGGCTCTTGGAAGCTGTTTTGAAGCCTCCTGGGGGTCCGTTTTGGGGCCTCTTAGGACTCTTTTTTAATCAACTTGGGGAGGGGTCTTGCCAGCGCGCGTCGCCGGGACCCATCCGGGGCGACCAGCGCGCGTCGCGGGGACTCGGTGTTGCGATATTCCCAGCGCCTCGCTCGCCCGTCGTCGCACTGCCCAGCGGCAAGAGCGTTGCCTGCTATCAGCCAGCCAGCTAGCTCTCTTTGCTCCGCGCAGCGGACGACCCGCGCGCGTCGTTGGGACCCCTCTGGGGCGACCTGCGCGCGTCGCGGGGACTCCGCGCTGCGCTGCGCCCGCAGCCTTGGACTTTTGAGTGCGCGGGCAAAAAGGGAGCAAAAGAAGGGGAGGAAGAGGGCGCGATCCTCGCGGTGGGGCGCGCCGACATTGGCGCCGCGGCGCGCGGGCGATGCCGTTGAGGAGTCCTGGGGAAGCTCCTTGCGGCGGCCACGCCCAGCGTCACGAGTACTCAGAGGCAGTCGTTCTCAAACTATGGACATTCCTATGCACTTGCACCATGCTTTGTCATACTCGCATTCATGCACGTAGACCCGCTCGCACGCAGAGTCATTCACAGTCAGACGGACTCGCGCTCAGATTCACCCGCGCTCAGTCTCCCTTCGTACTCAGATCAATCGTTTTCGTTCGCGTTGTGTACCACGCCACTCAATTCGGCACACCCCTAGCACGGTTCGTTGCCTCATAGGGATCGCCACCGAAGAAGTGAATCACTATTGCGGTACTCACACCTGCATATTGTTGGGTCCCTCGTCAGGCTAATTTTGTGTGTGTGTTTTTTCTGTGTATGGTTTGTTTCCCACAGTGTGTGTTTTTGTTTCCACAGTGTGTGTGTGTGCGTGTTTTTTCCCAACCATCCTGTGGTGTTGGGTCCTCGTTTTGAAGAGACGGTGCCCCGCGTTCTCCCTCCTTCTTTCCTCCTGCTGCCTCCTCCCCCCTCCCATCATCATCATCATCATCATCAACACAAATTTCGGCACACCCCTCACACGTTTCGCGGCTCTCCATATGCGGGCACACCCCTCACACGTTTCGTGGCTCCACTCCACCGAAGGCCCCAGTGCCCGCGGCCGCATGCGTCCCCCACACCCATTCGGCACACCCCTCACACGTTTCGTGGCTCCATAGGGAGCTCCACCGAAGGCCCCAGTGCCCGCGGCCGCATGCGTCCCCCACACCCATTTCGGCACACCCCTCACACGTTTCGTGGCTCCATAGGGAGCTCCACCGAAGGCCCCAGTGCCCGCGCCCGCATGCGTGCACCCACACCCATTTCGGCACACCCCTCACACGTTTCGTGGCTCCATAGGGAGCTCCGCCGAAGGCCCCAGTGCCCGCGCCCGCATGCGTCCCGGCACACCCCTCACACGTTTCGTGGCATTTGCCCGCGCATGCGTCACCACACCCATTTCGGCACACCCCTCACACGTTTCGTGGCTCCATAGGGAGCTCCACCGAAGGCCCCAGTGCCCGCGCCCGCATGCGTCCCCCACACCCATTTCGGCACACCCCTCACACGTTTCGTGGCTCCATAGGGAGCTCCACCGAAGGCCCCAGTGCCCGCGGCCGCATGCGTCACCCACACCCATTTCGGCACACCCCTCACACGTTTCGTGGCTCCATAGGGAGCTCCACCGAAGGCCCCAGTGCCCGC